CACGAGCTGGTCGGCCTCTTTCATCATGATCTGATAGTACCTGGAGTACGCATCAAGGAAGCATAGGGTTTCGCACCCTGAGGTCGAGTCAACTACCTGATCTATGCATGGCAAAGGAAATGAATCCTTCGGGCATGCCTTATTGAGGCTCGTGTAGCCGACACACACTCTCCATTTCTCACTTTTCTTTTTTACAAGAATGGGATTAGACAACCACTCTAGGTGGTATATTTCCTTGATAAAACCAGCCGCTAAGAGCTTAGCGATTTCCTCACCGATGAGCCTCCACTTTTCCTTGTTGAAGCGGCGCAGACGTTGTTTGACCGGCTAAGAACCTGGCATGATCTTCAAGGCATGCTTGGCGACTTCCCTCGGAATTCCTGGCATATTTGAATGTTTCCACGCAAAGATGTCTTGATTGGCACGGAGGAAGTCGATGAGCGTGCCTTCCTACTTGGGGGAGAGGGCGGTGCCGATGCGCACCATCTTGTCGGCGGAGTTGTCGGGGTTGACAAGGACCTCCTTGACGTTCTCCGTAGGCTCAAAGGATCTGGCCACCTGCTTCATGTCGGGCGCTCCTTCAGCGATGTCCTTCTCGATGGCTGCGAGCTCCTTGGAAGCGAGGGTGGCTGAAGCGAGCTCGCACTCATAGGCCCTCTAGAAAGAAGTGCCGGCGGTGATGACCCCACACGAGCCTAGCATCTTGAGCTTGAGGTAGGTGTAGTTGGGTACGGCCATGAACTTCGCGTAGCATGGTCGTCCTAGGATGGTGTGGTAGGTTCTGTGGAACCCAATCACTTCAAAGGTGAGGGTCTCCGTCCTATAGTTAGATGGACCCCCGAAGGTAATGGGCAGATCGATCTACCCAAGTGGCATGGCCTGCTTTCTAGGCATGATGCCATGCAAAGGCGCTCTAGTCGGTCGGATGCGCGCTCGGTCGATGCCCATAGCGTCGAGCGTCTCGGTGTATATGATGTTGAGGCCGCAGCCTCCATCCATCAGTACCTTGGTGAGCCGCTTCATGCTGACGATAGGGTCAACGACAAGTGGGTACCTGCCTAGGTGTGTGACACTATCTGGGTGGTTGGATCGGTCGAAGGTTATGGGAGACCCTGACCATTTGAGGAAAGCGGGCTCGGCGGGCTCGGCTTCGTAGACCTCCCGGCGCGCGAGCTTCTGTCGGCACTTGGAGCTGTATGCCTTCGGCCCACCAAAGATCATGAGGTAGCCATCTGGCGATGGAAAGTCACCGTCCTTCTCTCCAGCGTCGTCGGCTTCTACCTCGGGTTTCTTCTTCTGCTCCCATTTCTTGGAGCCGCCGGTGAAGAAACGCTTCATCGGGGAGCAGTCCTTGTACATGTGTTTGACGGGGAAGGCGTGGTTTGGGCATGACCCCTTGAGCAGCTTGTCAAAGTGATCAGGGGTGCCCTCGGCCGGTGCTCGACCAGCTTTTCGCTCGGCGGCGGCCATGAGCGAGCCCCTGCGCCCTTTCCGGTCCTTCTTATTTGAACGGTCGGAGGGGCCTTCATCGGCGTCCTCGTTTCGCTTCGCCTTACCTCTGGAGCGATAAAAAATTGCTCCAACTGCTTCCTCGCCGGAAGCATGGCTGGTCGCGATGTCGAGGAGTTCCTTGGTAATCCATGAGCCCTTACGTCCCAACTTATGGACCAGGGACTCGCAGGTGGTCCCTGACAGGAAGGCTCCGATGACGTCGGCATCGATGACATTGGGGAGCTCGTTGCACTGCCGGGAGAAGCATCGGATGTACTCGCGGAGAGTCTCTCCTGACTTCTATCAGTAGTTCTTCAAGTCCCAGGGGCTCCCAGGGCACGCGTAAAAGCCCTAGAAGTTCCCCATGAAGATTTGCTTCAGGTCCGCCCAACTCTGAATGCAGTTGGGCGAAAGGTGCTCCAGCCATGTTCGCGCCGAGTCGGCCAGGAACAGGGAGTGATTACGGATGATGAAGTCGTCATTGACTGCACCGCTGGCCCGGTAGGCGAGCCGGTAGTCCTTGAGACACAATCTGGGGTTTGTTTCCCCAGAGTATTTTGGGATGTTCGTCGGCGGGCGGTATCGGGGTGGGAGCGCCGCCTTGAGGACATGCCAACCGAAAGCTTGGGGCCCCGTTGGTTCGGGGCTATGACTCCGGTCCTCCTCACGGTCGTAGCGCCCACCGCGGTGAGGGTGGTAGCCATGGCTACCCCCTCCCCCGCATCGCTGCGGGTACGCCAGCGGGCGTCGAGGGTGTCACGCAAGTCATGGTTGTGGCTGAGACGCTCCTGAACCGAAACCGTGATGCGTGGCCTGCCTCCGTGCGGCGCCTGGTGGACTGATGCGTCCTTGTTGGGTCGTACTGAGGGTGTGCGCCGGCTAGCATCGAGCTCCCGTCACTGAGACAGCGAGCTCTCGGCCTGCTGCGCAGCCGCACGCTCGAGCAGCGTGCGAATCTCACGGTAGGCCCGATGATCCTCGGGTGTCGTAGGCCCCGGAAGCCCCCTGAGCAAGGCTGCCACAGCAGCGATGTTCTGGCTTACCCGGGCGAATCTCATGGTAGGCCCGACGATCCTCCGGTTCACGTCATGGGCCATGGCGCGTGCGCGCCCTCCGTCTCCGTGGCGCTCGATCTCGCGATCGAGCTCCGCACGTTCCTGCTTGAGCTGGAGTCGTGCTTCCTCAAGCTCTAGGTGACAGGCCTTCATCTGCTCCACCCGCAGGCGGGGTGGGACTCTTGCATCCCCCTCGACCTCGTCATTGAGGTTGTTCATCGGGGTAGCCTCCTCCTCGTGGATGCTTTCGACGTGTCCCTCAGTGGTACCAGTCATGAAGCATTCATGAGAGGCTATCACCCTCGTCGTGGCGGACGCTACGACAGCAGCGAGGACCGAAGCCTGAGCCTCAGCCTGCCGGGGCCTCAAGCCTTCGGTCGACACATCCTCAACGCTGCCTTCCCGCCAAGGTACCGGCCACCAACCAACATCCCGAAGTACTCCGGTGAAACAAACCCCGAACTGTGGCTCGAGGATTATTGGCTTGTCTACCAAGCCGGTGGAGCAGATAATGACGATTTCATTATCCGCAACCTTCCATTGTTCCTGGCCGATTCGGCGCGAACATGGTTGGAACACCTTCCACCCAACAGAATCCAAAGTTGGGTGGACCTGAAAAAGATTTTCGTGGGAAACTTTCAGGGCCCGTACAAACACCCTGGGAACCCATGGGATCTCAAGAACTACCGACAGAATGCCAGAGAAACCCTTTGTGGGTATATTCAGCGTTTCTTCCGGCAGTGCAACGAGCTGCCTAACGTCGCCGGATGGTAATGATGCATAGAACTTAAAAAAAAACGAAATTAATTGATGCCTGGCATTCGTATGACACTAATATCAGTCCAGTATAGCAATTATTAACCCCTTCCTGAGGCATCTACCTGAGATGGAAAATGTCCACGACTACAGAAAAAGGCACAGTTCAAAATACTATCATTTGTTTTGGACTGCAACATGTACCTGTAGTTTTTTTCCTACATTCATTCAAAGCTGCATGCATATTTTTTAAACCAGTCTTTGTTGTCGTCCTTATCGCCCGTACTGACAGATGCTTTTGTCAGGAGGTAACTAGTACATGTTTATATGGTGCTGATTTATTCTATTATAGGGCTGCTTAAGTTTAATGTTTTTATAGCAATATATAGACTGACCTATTCTGATTCCATAATCCAGGTAGTTACAGAATACTCTGAGGATCAGCTTGAATTGGTCTTAGAAGCCTGTGAAAGGATGAATGCGCATCTGACGGCTGCAGTAGTTTCAAACGATCCGCTATTTCTGCAGGAAAGTTGGTTTAACTCTCTGCAAGTTGGGTTAACCCCGCATTTCTCACATGGAACTAGTTTGATAAAGTTAGGATTTCTTCACCATACTCTCAGGATTCTCGGAAAGCATCACTGTCAGTAACCAAACGTTTGAATGATTTCAGAACGTTTTCCTTATCTTGGTTTATTTTCAGGACGTAATTGGGAGATCTGTTAACGGGACAACGTACGCTGGAATTCGAGCGAGGACCACTGGCGCTCCACAGAACCACTGGTAGGTGAGCCAAGACCCAAAACCAACTTGACATGCACGGTTACAAGTAGATATACATGAATTATATATGGCAACGTAACATTTCCATCCCACTGTAAAATCCAGGTTTGGCCCGGCTGGTGATCCGCGAGGCGCAGGCATCGGAACTCCGGAAGCCATCAAACTTGTCTGGTCCTGCCACAGGGAGATCATATATGACATCGGCCCCGTGCCCAAGAGCTGGGCGCTTCCTTCCGCGACTTGATTAGCTAGACGAGGAGAGACCATTCCATTTCATCATGGGGAATAAAAGGGGAAGAGAAGAGAAGCTGGCAGGGCCGGAGTAGTCAGGAACCGAGAGCGAGTGGCCCGTGAATGAATAATATAACCTGCATTTCTAGGCATTCTCTGCACCCTCAACCTCAATAAAACACAATAAATGGGTCTTATAGCCTGATGTACCAATGTTCATTCCCCATGGTTGGATTGGATTAGTTACAAATTAAACAACATGCATGCACTGGTTGACTTCCTCGAAAGTGCTCTGATTGTGTCACCAGCGAACAATCCGTCTGTTCGCAGCTGCACTGGGACCTCGATTCTTAGTTCTTCAACTGATAAACGCATTATTCTCCGCTAGTGCTGATTGTATATAATTCTCGATATATTGTAACCAGTTAGCAGCCAGGGCTAGTGGTGATTATATATACAAGTTCTCGATATATTGTGACCACAGTTAGCCGCCGGGGCAAAGGAAGCGTGAACACGCCATACCTCGTACCAAACATCGACAGAGCCACACAACCCTCCTATATATACCTCGTACCACAAATCCACAATCATCGTCAGAGACACGAGTCCAAACATACAGCTTGAACTAGCTCTAGCTCCGCCCAACTCGTAGCTACGTACGTACAGAAATCTAATCTTGCAACCATGGCCAAGGCCGAGCTCCTCCTCCTCGCCGTCGTGTCCACGCTCTCCGTGCTGCCCTTCTCCTCCCTCGCCGTGTACCAGGACTTCTGTATCGCCGACCTAGCCGCCAGCGCCACGCCGGGCGGGTACCCGTGCAAGCCCGCGAAGGACGTGACCGCCGACGACTTCCACTACGGCGGACTCGGCAGCCCCGGCACGGCGCTGAAACCCTTCAAGATCTCCCCTGGGCTCCGCCATCGTCACCACGTTCCCCGGCCTGAACGGGCTGGGCATCTCCGCCGCGCGGATGGTGATGGTCCCGGGCGGTGCCACGCCGCTGCACTCCCACCCGGGCGGCACCGAGCTCATCTACGTCGTCGAGGGCAGCGTCGTCTCCGGCTTCATCAGCGCCGCGCTCAACAGGGTGTACACCAAGACGCTGTACGCCGGCGACCTGATGGTGCTCCCGCGGGGACAGCTCCACTTCCAGTACAGCCACGGCAACGCCACGGCGGTGACGCTGTCCTCGTTCAGCAGCGACAACCCCGGCCTGCAGATCCTCGACTTCGCGCTCTTCGCCAACGACCTGCCCACGGAGGTCGTGAACAAGGTGACCACCCTGGACGAACTGCAGGTCATCAAGCTCAAGGCGCTGTTCGGCGGGGGGGCTAGGCGCACGCACTATCTATATACCACAGTCAACAGTATTGAGGCTTGAATTTGCGCACGGTTTTGTGAGTGAGCACGTATTTTCTATGCTAGTGATGTTTGTCATTATGTAAAATAAATTGTAACGCAGGAGGCGTACGTGAGAGTGAAAATATTTGTTTGTTTGTTTGGAAGATTGAGAGTGAAAATATTTCATATTTGATGTTATATCTGGATTGTTAATAATACAGTATTGAAGTTCATGGACTCCTTATAGCGAAAGAACCATTCTAACCTTATCAGCATAACTCCACCTGTTAGATCTCACCTCGGAGAAGAATGACCGTCTGATCCACTTTTATCTACTCCCTCCGTCCCAAAAAGACCGCAACTGAGTGGTTCAAATCTTGCTTCAAAACGTTTGCATTTTTACACAAGTACTAGAATACAGGTTAAAGTGTCAGCACGTAGGACTCACTTGACTGCAAAGCCTATAACCCTCATGCACGGCGGACATGACGCCTTCCTGTCCATTCGTTTATCTTTTAGAGCATTCTCCCATAGGGCAGAGGAAGTATGCACTGCAAACCTGATAGACAACAGGTCAGAGAACTATAAACAGAGGTGTTTAGATAATTTCCCTAGTTGCATTGGTATCTGCGTTTGGTCCTACAATTGCCGAATTACGGCATTTTAAGGACGGAGGGAATACTACTCTAGAAACTTTATGATCTGCCAAGTATGTCTTGCCTCTCCCATACCTAAATCGTGACCGCTAACTTCCCATAGAAAAGAAATTAAAAAGTATTGGCATTGAACGATATGGTGGCTTCCAGCAACCTAAATGTTTTTCCAAATTTGTCATGTCGAGTACAAGAATAATACTATTTTTCAATGGATATTGTTAGAGTGTACTAGGATATCTCCCCCTATGATAGATTAAGATCGTACAATCCCATTTTACCTTATCTCTAAGAGATGCTTCTTGTCCCTAAGCTATTTACTCCTCCTATATAATAATCTGTTTACGGGCAATAGACTATTCCACCGACCCTATTCCTCAGTATCACAAGTCTAGGTTCACATTCTAACCCTAACCATTGCTGGCTCCCACACTACACGCCCCAAGGCCATGAGCTTAATTTTATTGTGTGTGTGTGAGAGGGGGGGCTAACATCACTATTTAGGTGGCTCATCATATTGATCCGACCACAATCGTTGTCATCATCGCCGTCAAGCAAGAAATTAGGCCTACCTCCTCACGCTTGTCCTCATCTTGGTGGGCTACCGCCGTTGACACTAGGCCGCGGCACCGTGGTGGCTGATTGTTACATCAAGACATCGGGCCATTGTGTTGTGCTCGAGCCCATGGTGAACATCTGATCACCGATGTGTTTTTTCTTCGATCGCTGATCTGGGGTGAGTCACTCACTAAATGGTCGACCTTGCGTGTATCTACTACAACATCGACATCAATTAAACTACTTCTACCCCTTGACTATGTGGTGGGCGGGCAGGTGATGCCGGCGATACCTTCCCACATCGCAATTCTTAGCCATCACGGCGCAACCCACAACTATATATATCGTCGGTTCGTCATCACCACAAAATATTTAACAGGACACCTCTGTCAACTTCTTCCATCATCATCTCACCTCACGCATACTCGGTTTGATCAGTCGATTGTGCATGACCCACTCGACTCATGTGACACATCCATTATCAAGTACTATGCACATGTTCTTCGAGCAACTAGGTTGTTGCTTTGTCACCTCGTTGTGTCGCAACATCACTACCCGTGTGTCTCCTCACCGTTGCATCTACATTGTTGTCCCCTATGCATCGGCAACTATGCTACATAATCTCTTGTGTGCCATCATGCGCACCTAGTCATCGTTATGCTGATTGGATCTACATTGTTGAAATAGAGCACTAGAACCACCGATAGCTGTTTACCTAGCATTAGGATTGCTCTTTGTTGACTATGATTACATCACGAAATCTGACCATTAACTCTCACAAAAATGACAAAGGCTTGATCATCAACTTAATTAGTGATTAGGCTTATTTCTAACAAATTCCATTAGTTTCGATGATTAATTGATGCCTGGCATTCGTATGACACTAATATCAATCCAGTATAGCAATTATTAACCCCTTCCTGACGCATCTACCTGAGATGGAAAATGTCCCCGACTACAGAAAAAGGCATATAGTTCAAAATACTATCATTTGTTTTGGACTGCAACATGTACCTGTAGGTTTTTTCCTACATTCATTCAAAGCTGCATGCATATTTTTTAAACCAGTCTTTGTTGTCGTCCTTATCTCCCGTACTGACAGATGCTTTGTCAGGAGGTAGCTAGTACATGTTTCTATTGGTGCTGATTTATTCTATTATAGGGCTGCTTAAGTTTAATGTTTTTATAGCAATATATAGACTGACCTATTCTGATTCCATAATCCAGGTAGTTACAGAATACTCTGAGGATCAGCTTGAATTGGTCTTAGAAGCCTGTGAAAGGATGAATGCGCATCTGACGGCTGCAGTAGTTTCAAACGATCCGCTATTTCTGCAGGAAAGTTGGTTTAACTCTCTGCAAGTTGGGTTAACCCCGCATTTCTCACATGGAACTAGTTTGATAAAGTTAGGATTTCTTCACCATACTCTCAGGATTCTCGGAAAGCATCACTGTCAGTAACCAAACGTTTGAATGATTTCAGAACGTTTTCCTTATCTTGGTTTATTTTCAGGACGTAATTGGGAGATCTGTTAACGGGACAACGTACGCTGGAATTCGAGCGAGGACCACTGGCGCTCCACAGAACCACTGGTAGGTGAGCCAAGACCCAAAACCAACTTGACATGCACGGTTACAAGTAGATATACATGAATTATATATGGCAACGTAACATTTCCATCCCACTGTAAAATCCAGGTTTGGCCCGGCTGGTGATCCGCGAGGCTCAGGCATCGGAACTCCGGAAGCCATCAAACTTGTCTGGTCCTGCCACAGGGAGATCATATATGACATCGGCCCCGTGCCCAAGAGCTGGGCGCTTCCTTCCGCGACTTGATTAGCTAGACGAGGAGAGACCATTCCATTTCATCATGGGGAATAAAAGGGGAAGAGAAGAGAAGCTGGCAGGGCCGGAGGTAGTCAGGAACCGAGAGCGAGTGGCCCGTGAATGAATAATATAACCTGCATTTCTAGGCATTCTCTGCACCCTCAACCTCAATAAAACACAATAAATGGGTCTTATAGCCTGATGTACCAATGTTCATTCCCCATGGTTGGATTGGATTAGTTACAAATTAAACAACATGCATGCACTGGTTGACTTCCTCGAAAGTGCTCTGATTGTGTCACCAGCGAACAATCCGTCTGTTCGCAGCTGCACTGGGACCTCGATTCTTAGTTCTTCAACTGATAAACGCATTATTCTCCGCTAGTGCTGATTGTATATAATTCTCGATATATTGTAACCAGTTAGCAGCCAGGGCTAGTGGTGATTATATATACAAGTTCTCGATATATTGTGACCACAGTTAGCCGCCGGGGCAAAGGAAGCGTGAACACGCCATACCTCGTACCAAACATCGACAGAGCCACACAACCCTCCTATATATACCTCGTACCACAAATCCACAATCATCGTCAGAGACACGAGTCCAAACATACAGCTTGAACTAGCTCTAGCTCCGCCCAACTCGTAGCTACGTACGTACAGAAATCTAATCTTGCAACCATGGCCAAGGCCGAGCTCCTCCTCCTCGCCGTCGTGTCCACGCTCTCCGTGCTGCCCTTCTCCTCCCTCGCCGTGTACCAGGACTTCTGTATCGCCGACCTAGCCGCCAGCGCCACGCCGGGCGGGTACCCGTGCAAGCCCGCGAAGGACGTGACCGCCGACGACTTCCACTACGGCGGACTCGGCAGCCCCGGCACGGCGCTGAAACCCTTCAAGATCTCCCTGGGCTCCGCCATCGTCACCACGTTCCCCGGCCTGAACGGGCTGGGCATCTCCGCCGCGCGGATGGTGATGGTCCCGGGCGGTGCCACGCCGCTGCACTCCCACCCGGGCGGCACCGAGCTCATCTACGTCGTCGAGGGCAGCGTCGTCTCCGGCTTCATCAGCGCCGCGCTCAACAGGGTGTACACCAAGACGCTGTACGCCGGCGACCTGATGGTGCTCCCGCGGGGACAGCTCCACTTCCAGTACAGCCACGGCAACGCCACGGCGGTGACGCTGTCCTCGTTCAGCAGCGACAACCCCGGCCTGCAGATCCTCGACTTCGCGCTCTTCGCCAACGACCTGCCCACGGAGGTCGTGAACAAGGTGACCACCCTGGACGAACTGCAGGTCATCAAGCTCAAGGCGCTGTTCGGCGGGAGGGGGCTAGGCGCACGCACTATCTATATACCACAGTCAACAGTATTGAGGCTTGAATTTGCGCACGGTTTTGTGAGTGAGCACGTATTTTCTATGCTAGTGATGTTTGTCATTATGTAAAATAAATTGTAACGCAGGAGGCGTACGTGAGAGTGAAAATATTTGTTTGTTTGTTTGGAAGATTGAGAGTGAAAATATTTCATATTTGATGTTATATCTGGATTGTTAATAATACAGTATTGAAGTTCATGGACTCCTTATAGCGAAAGAACCATTCTAACCTTATCAGCATAACTCCACCTGTTAGATCTCACCTCGGGAGAAGAATGACCGTCTGATCCACTTTTATCTACTCCCTCCGTCCCAAAAAGACCATGGCCCTGAGTGGTTCAAATCTTGCTTCAAAACGTTTGCATTTTTACACAAGTACTAGAATACAGGTTAAAGTGTACCGACGTAGGACTCACTTATTTGCAAAGCCTATAACCCTCATGCACGGCGGACATGACGCCTTCCTGTCCATTCGTTTATCTTTTAGAGCATTCTCCCATAGGGCAGAGGAAGTATGCACTGCAAACCTGATAGACAACAGGTCAGAGAACTATAAACAGAGGTGTTTAGATAATTTCCCTAGTTGCATTGGTATCTGCGTTTGGTCCTACAATTGCCGAATTACGGCATTTTAAGGACGGAGGGAATACTACTCTAGAAACTTTATGATCTGCCAAGTATGTCTTGCCTCTCCCATACCTAAATCGTGACCGCTAACTTCCCATAGAAAAGAAATTAAAAAGTATTGGCATTGAACGATATGGTGGCTTCCAGCAACCTAAATGTTTTTCCAAATTTGTCATGTCGAGTACAAGAATAATACTATTTTTCAATGGATATTGTTAGAGTGTACTAGGATATCTCCCCCTATGATAGATTAAGATCGTACAATCCCATTTTACCTTATCTCTAAGAGATGCTTCTTGTCCCTAAGCTATTTACTCCTCCTATATAATAATCTGTTTACGGGCAATAGACTATTCCACCGACCCTATTCCTCAGTATCACAAGTCTAGGTTCACATTCTAACCCTAACCATTGCTGGCTCCCACACTACACGCCCCAAGGCCATGAGCTTAATTTGCAGTGTGTATGAGAGAGGGGGCTAACATCACTATTTAGGTGGCTCATCATATTGATCCGACCACAATCGTTGTCATCATCGCCGTCAAGCAAGAAATTAGGCCTACCTCCTCACGCTTGTCCTCATCTTGGTGGGCTACCGCCGTTGACACTAGGCCGCGGCACCGTGGTGGCTGATTGTTACACCGTCAAGACATCGGGCCATTGTGTTGTGCTCGAGCCCATGGTGAACATCTGATCACCTGATGTGTTTTCTTCTGATCGTTGATCTGGGCTGAGTCACTCACTACTCGTCGACCTTGCGTGTATCTACTACAACATCGACATCAATTAAACTACTTCTACCCCCTTGACTATGTGGCTGGGGCGGGCAGGTGATGCCGAGCGATACCTTCCCACATCGCTTAATTCTTAGCCATCACGGCCGCAACCACACAACTATATCGTCGGTTCGTCATCACCACAAAATATTTAACAGGACACCTCTGTCAACTTCTTCCATCATCATCTCACCTCACGCATACTCGGTTTGATCAGTCGATTGTGCATGACCCACTCGACTCATGTGACACATCCATTATCAAGTACTATGCACATGTTCTTCGAGCAACTAGGTTGTTGCTTTGTCACCTCGTTGTGTCGCAACATCACTACCCGTGTGTCTCCTCACCGTTGCATCTACATTGTTGTCCCCTATGCATCGGCAACTATGCTACGCAATCTCTTGTGTGCCATCTGTCTGCACCTAGTCATCGTTATGCTGATTGGATCTACATTGTTGAAATAGAGCACTAGAACCACCGATAGCTGTTTACCTAGCATTAGGATTGCTCTTTGTTGACTATGATTACATCACGAAATCTGACCATTAACTCTCACAAAAATGACAAAGGCTTGATCATCAACTTAATTAGTGATTAGGCTTATTTCTAACAAATTCCATTAGTTTCGATGATTAATTGATGCCTGGCATTCGTATGACACTAATATCAATCCAGTATAGCAATTATTAACCCCTTCCTGACGCATCTACCTGAGATGGAAAATGTCCACGACTACAGAAAAAGGCATATAGTTCAAAATACTATCATTTGTTTTGGACTGCAACATGTACCTGTAGGTTTTTTCCTACATTCATTCAAAGCTGCATGCATATTTTTTAAACCAGTCTTTGTTGTCGTCCTTATCTCCCGTACTGACAGATGCTTTGTCAGGAGGTAGCTAGTACATGTTTCTATTGGTGCTGATTTATTCAATTATAGGGCTGCTTAAGTTTAATGTTTTTATAGCAATATACAGACTGACCTATTCTGATTCCATAATCCAGGTAGTTACAGAATACTCTGAGGATCAACTTGAATTGGTCTTAGAAGTTTGTGAAAGGATGAATGCGCATCTGACGGCTGCAGTAGTTTCAAACGATCCGCTATTTCTGCAGGCAAGTTGGTTTAACTCTCTGCAAGTTGGGTTAACCCCGCATTTCTCACATGGAACTAGTTTGATAAAGTTAGGTTTTCTTCAGCATACTCTCAGGATCCTCGGAAAGCATCACTGTCAGTAACCAAACGTTTGAATGATTTCAGAACGTTTTCCTTATCTTGGTTTATTTTCAGGACGTACTTGGGAGGTCTGTTAACGGGACAACGTACGCTGGAGTTCGAGCGAGGACCACTGGCGCTCCACAGAACCACTGCTGAGCCAAGACCCAAAACCAACTTGACATGCACGGTTACAAGTAGATATACATGAATTATATATGGCAACGTAACATTTCCATCCCACTGTAAAATCCAGGTTTGGCCCGGCTGGTGATCCGCGAGGCGCAGGCATCGGAACTCCTGAAGCCATCAAACTTGTCTGGTCCTGCCACAGGGAGATCATATATGACATCGGCCCCGTGCCCAAGAGCTGGGCGCTTCCTTCCGCGACTTGATTAGCTAGACGAGGAGAGACCATTCCATTTCATCATGGGGAATAAAAGGGGAAGAGAAGAGAAGCTGGCAGGGCCGGAGTAGTCAGGAACCGAGAGCGAGTGGCCCGTGAATGAATAATATAACCTGCATTTCTAGGCATTCTCTGCACCCTCAACCTCAATAAAACACAATAAATGGGTCTTATAGCCTGATGTACCAATGTTCATTCCCCATGGTTGGATTGGATTAGTTACAAATTAAACAACATGCATGCACTGGTTGACTTCCTCGAAAGTGCTCTGATTGTGTCACCAGCGAACAATCCGTCTGTTCGCAGCTGCACTGGGACCTCGATTCTTAGTTCTTCAACTGATAAACGCATTATTCTCCGCTAGTGCTGATTGTATATAATTCTCGATATATTGTAACCAGTTAGCAGCCAGGGCTAGTGGTGATTATATATACAAGTTCTCGATATATTGTGACCACAGTTAGCCGCCGGGGCAAAGGAAGCGTGAACACGCCATACCTCGTACCAAACATCGACAGAGCCACACAACCCTCCTATATATACCTCGTACCACAAATCCACAATCATCGTCAGAGACACGAGTCCAAACATACAGCTTGAACTAGCTCTAGCTCCGCCCAACTCGTAGCTACGTACGTACAGAAATCTAATCTTGCAACCATGGCCAAGGCCGAGCTCCTCCTCCTCGCCGTCGTGTCCACGCTCTCCGTGCTGCCCTTCTCCTCCCTCGCCGTGTACCAGGACTTCTGTATCGCCGACCTAGCCGCCAGCGCCACGCCGGGCGGGTACCCGTGCAAGCCCGCGAAGGACGTGACCGCCGACGACTTCCACTACGGCGGACTCGGCAGCCCCGGCACGGCGCTGAAACCCTTCAAGATCTCCCTGGGCTCCGCCATCGTCACCACGTTCCCCGGCCTGAACGGGCTGGGCATCTCCGCCGCGCGGATGGTGATGGTCCCGGGCGGTGCCACGCCGCTGCACTCCCACCCGGGCGGCACCGAGCTCATCTACGTCGTCGAGGGCAGCGTCGTCTCCGGCTTCATCAGCGCCGCGCTCAACAGGGTGTACACCAAGACGCTGTACGCCGGCGACCTGATGGTGCTCCCGCGGGACAGCTCCACTTCCAGTACAGCCACGGCAACGCCACGGCGGTGACGCTGTCCTCGTTCAGCAGCGACAACCCCGGCCTGCAGATCCTCGACTTCGCGCTCTTCGCCAACGACCTGCCCACGGAGGTCGTGAACAAGGTGACCACCCTGGACGAACTGCAGGTCATCAAGCTCAAGGCGCTGTTCGGCGGGAGGGGCTAGGCGCACGCACTATCTATATACCACAGTCAACAGTATTGAGGCTTGAATTTGCGCACGGTTTTGTGAGTGAGCACGTATTTTCTATGCTAGTGATGTTTGTCATTATGTAAAATAAATTGTAACGCAGGAGGCGTACGTGAGAGTGAAAATATTTGTTTGTTTGTTTGGAAGATTGAGAGTGAAAATATTTCATATTTGATGTTATATCTGGATTGTTAATAATACAGTATTGAAGTTCATGGACTCCTTATAGCGAAAGAACCATTCTAACCTTATCAGCATAACTCCACCTGTTAGATCTCACCTCGGAGAAGAATGACCGTCTGATCCACTTTTATCTACTCCCTCCGTCCCAAAAAGACCGCAACTGAGTGGTTCAAATCTTGTTTCAAAACGTTTGCATTTTTACACAAGTACTAGAATACAGGTTAAAGTGTCAGCACGTAGGACTCACTTGACTGCAAAGCCTATAACCCTCATGCACGGCGGACATGACGCCTTCCTGTCCATTCGTTTATCTTTTAGAGCATTCTCCCATAGGGCAGAGGAAGTATGCACTGCAAACCTGATAGACAACAGGTCAGAGAACTATAAACAGAGGTGTTTAGATAATTTCGCTAGTTGCATTGGTATCTGCGTTTGGTCCTACAATTGCCGAATTACGGCATTTTAAGGACGGAGGGAATACTACTCTAGAAACTTTATGCGCAGCTAGCAGATCCCTCTGCCAAGTATGTCTTGCCTCTCCCATACCTAAATCGTGACCGCTAACTTCCCATCGAAAAGAAATTAAAAAGCATTGGCATTGAACGATATGGTGGCTTCCAGCAACCTAAATGTTTTTCCAAATTTGTCATGTCGAGTACAAGAATAATACTATTTTTCAGTGGATATTGTTAGAGTGTACTGGGATATCTCCACCTATGATAGATTAAGATCGTACAATCCCATTTTACCTTGTCTCTAAGAGATGCTTCTTGTCCCTAAGGTATTTACTCCTATATAATAATCTGTTTACGGGCAATAGACTATTCCACCAACCCTATTCCTCAGTATCACAAGTCTAGGTTCACATTCTAACCCTAACCATTGCTGGCTCCCACACTACACGCCCCAAGGCCATGAGCTTAATTTGCAGTGTGTGTGTGTTGGGGGGGGGGGCGAACATCACTATTTAGGCTATTTAGGTGGCACATCATATTGATCCGACCACCATCGTTGTCATCATCGCCGTCAAGCAAGAAATTAGGCCTACCTCCTCACGCTTGTCCTCATCTTGGTGGGCTACCGCCGTTGACACTAGGCCGCGGCACCGTGGTGGCTGATTGTTACACCGTCACGACATCGGGCCATTGTGTTGTGCTCGAGCCCATGGTGAACATTTGATCACCTGATGTGTTTTCTTCTGATCGCTGATCTGGGTTGAGTCACTCACTACTCGTCGACCTTGCATGTATCTACTACAACATCGACATCAATTAAACTACTTCTACCCCCTTGACTATGTGGCTGGGGCGGGCAGGTGATGCCGAGCGATACCTTCCCACATCGCTTAATTCTTAGCCATCACGGCCGCAACCACACAACTATATCGTCGGTTCGTCATCACCACAAAATATTTAACAGGACACCTCTGTCAACTTCTTCCATCATCATCTCACCTCACGCATACTCGGTTTGATCAGTCGATTGTGCATGACCCACTCGACTCATGTGACACATCCATTATCAAGTACTATGCACATGTTCTTCGAGCAACTAGGTTGTTGCTTTGTCACCTCGTTGGGTCGCAACATCACTACCCGTGTGTCTCCTCACCGTTGCATCTACATTGTTGTCCCCTATGCATCGGCAACTATGCTACGCAATCTCTTGTGTGCCATCTGTCTGCACCTAGTCATCGTTATGCTGATTGGATCTACATTGTTGAAATAGAGCACTAGAACCACCGATAACTGTTTACCTAGCATTAGGATTGCTCTTTGTTGACTATGATTACATCACGAAATCTGACCATTAACTCTCACAAAAATATGACAAAGGTTTGATCATCAACTTAATTAGTGATTAGGCTTATTTCTAACAAATTCCATTAGTTTCGATGATTAATTGATGCCTGGCATTCGTATGACACTAATATCAATCCAGTATAGCAATTATTAACCCCTTCCTGAAGCATCTACCTGAGATGGAAAATGTCCACGACTACAGAAAAAGGCATAGTTCAAAATACTATCATTTGTTTTGGACTGCAACATGTACCTGTAGTTTTTTTCCTACATTCATTCAAAGCTGCATGCATATTTTTTAAACCAGTCTTTGTTGTCGTCCTTATCGCCCGTACTGACAGATGCTTTGTCAGGAGGTAGCTAGTACATGTTTCTATTGGTGCTGATTTATTCAATTATAGGGCTGCTTAAGTTTAATGTTTTTATAGCTATATACAGACTGACCTATTCTGATTCCATAATCCAGGTAGTTACAGAATACTCTGAGGATCAGCTTGAATTGGTCTTAGAAGCCTGTGAAAGGATGAATGCGCATCTGACGGCTAGTGCTGATTATATATAATTCTCGATATATTGTAACCAGTTAGCAGCCAGGGCTAGTGGTGATTATATATACAAGTTCTCGATATATTGTGACCAGTTAGCCGCCGGGGCAAAGGAAGCGTGAACACGCCATACCTCGTACCAAACATCGACAGAGCCACACAACCCTCCTATATATACCTCGTACCACAAATCCACAATCATCGTCAAAGACACGAGTCCAAACATACAGCTTGAACTAGCTCTAGCTCCGCCCAACTCGTAGCTACGTACGTACAGAAATCTAATCTTGCAACCATGGCCAAGGCCGAGCTCCTCCTCCTCGCCGTCGTGTCCACGCTCTCCGTGCTGCCCTTCTCCTCCCTCGCCGTGTACCAGGACTTCTGTATCGCCGACCTAGCCGCCAGCGCCACGCCGGGCGGGTACCCGTGCAAGCCCGCGAAGGACGTGACCGCCGACGACTTCCACTACGGCGGACTCGGCAGCCCCGGCACGGCGCTGAAACCCTTCAAGATCTCCCTGGGCTCCGCCATCGTCACCACGTTCCCCGGCCTGAACGGGCTGGGCATCTCCGCCGCGCGGATGGTGATGGTCCCGGGCGGTGCCACGCCGCTGCACTCCCACCCGGGAGGCACCGAGCTCATCTACGTCGTCGAGGGCAGCGTCGTCTCCGGCTTCATCAGCGCCGCGCTCAACAGGGTGTACACCAAGACGCTGTACGCCGGCGACCTGATGGTGCTCCCGCGGGGACAGCTCCACTTCCAGTACAGCCACGGCAACGCCACGGCGGTGACGCTGTCCTCGTTCAGCAGCGACAACCCCGGCCTGCAGATCCTCGACTTCGCGCTCTTCGCCAACGACCTGCCCACGGAGGTCGTGAACAAGGTGACCACCCTGGACGAACTGCAGGTCATCAAGCTCAAGGCGCTGTTCGGCGGGAGGGGCTAGGCGCACGCACTATCTATATACCACAGTCAACAGTATTGAGGCTTGAATTTGCGCACGGTTTTGTGAGTGAGCACGTATTTTCTATGCTAGTGATGTTTGTCATTATGTAAAATAAATTGTAACGCAGGAGGCGTACGTGAGAGTGAAAATATTTGTTTGTTTGTTTGGAAGATTGAGAGTGAAAATATTTCATATTTGATGTTATATCTGGATTGTTAATAATACAGTATTGAAGTTCATGGACTCCTTATAGCGAAAGAACCATTCTAACCTTATCAGCATAACTCCACCTGTTAGATCTCACCTCGGAGAAGAATGGCCGTCTGATCCACTTTTATCTACTCCCTCCGTCCCAAAAAAGACCACAACTGAGTGGTTCAAATCTTGTTTCAAAACATTTGCATTTTTACACAAGTACTAGAATACAGGTTAAAGTGTCAGCACGTAGGACTCACTTAACTGCAAAGCCTATAACCCTCATGCACGGCGGACATGACACATTCCTGTCCATTCGTTTATCTTTTAGAGCATTCTTCCATAGGGCAGAGGAAGTATCCACTGCAAACCTGATAGACAACAGGCCAGAGAACTATAAACAGAGGTGCTTAGATAATTTCGCTAGCTGCATTGGTATCTGTGTTTGGTCCTACAATTGCTGAATTACGGTATTTTAAGGATGGAGGGAATACTACTATCAGGTTCATAATCCCGGGGTCCCCAATGGGCCCGCTTCTCAGCAAAAAGCTCGGCCCAGCAGACGACGTTGCGACAATGCGCGCCTCCTAGGCCGGCTCGGATAACCCCACGGCAGGCCGGAAGAGCGATCCAGTCTCCGATCGGAAGGCCTGGCCAAGCAGGGGACGACGCTCGCTTCCGACTCCGACCCGCTTTTTCGACAGGGAATACGCCGAACCTTTGCTTATAGCTTCCGACTCCGACTGGCGCGGTCGGAGCCGACTGAGAACAACCGACCGGGGACGCCTGCTCGGTGAGGACCCAAGAATCAGGTGGAGCAGATAAGGCGAGACGCTCAAGTGAACCGTAATACCGAGGACCGTACCCTGCACGCCTGCAGGACAGTATCGCCAGGACATGTCAGAAGGGTGCTCTACAACCTTTCAAGCATGTCAGAACCCAAACAGTGCTGTGGACGCTGACATTTGACGTACAGTGTTGTGGCCGCCCTCATTTGCCATGCCCGGCAAACACAGTAAAAGACTATCACATGCGTCTGACATAAACAGTATTGTGGGCGCCGACGACCGGCTTGTACCCGACAGCGTGGGCAACAAGACTTAGGATCACACGCGCACACATACACACACACTCTCTCTCTTACTTGTAAGGCCATCCCCTTCACCTATAAAAGGGGATGCGCTCTCTCCTAAAGGAGGATGGTTCATTGTTCCGACTCTCTCTTTGCTAGGCTTTAGAACTCTAAAGCTCTAAAGCTACACAGAGCATACATTCCAATACTTAGCGCATGTTGGAGCTCCCGTC